TGACTGAGTATGAAATTAACGTGTCACCCCGCCGAATATCACGCTGCCCTTCATTAACCCCGCCCGTGATTAGGTCAAGCTAGCCGATTCCACGCACCTCCACACTTCGTTTTGCGTCTCGTTTAAATTTTCGCGATTTCGTGGACGCGAATGTACGCGTCTGGCGCCCAACTTCGGAATATTTCGTGGAGTATCGGAGGTGCGAGGAAATCACTGGAGAGGCCGACCATCCCGCTCTCCTAAGTCCTTTTGATCCGGCACACGTCCCGGAGCGGTCCGGGAGTGCAAAAAAGTCGTGACAATATATATATATATACATATATATATATATATATATATAACTAATATACATTTATGTCTAAAAAATAATTATAAAATATTTCTTGTTTTAGCAAATAAATAAAATTGTGCGAAAAGCGGTACAAAAGGACCGGCGCAAGGGTTCTTCAAGGTATGCGCCACTGCCGGGGTACGTTCTGGCGCCATCGCCAGGATACGGCACGTACGGTATGGCGCCAACGCCGGGGTACATGCCCGCTCCTTTGCCGGGGTACGTGCCCGCTCCTCTGCCGGGGTATGTACGTGCCCGCTTCTCCACCGGGGTACGTGCCCGCTCCTTCACCGGGGTACGTGCCCGCTCCTCCGCCGGGGTACGTGCCCGCTCCTCCACCGGGGTACGTGCCCGCTCCTCCACCGGGGTACGTGCCCGCTCCTTCGCCGGGGTACGTGGCCGCTCCTCCGCCGACATACGTGTTTGCTCCTCCGCCGGGGTACGTGCCCGCTCCTCCGCCGGGGTACGTTCCGGCAGCCAAAAAAATAGATTGACTTGTAACGTTATGACTGTTCGCCGACGGAAAACTTTGCGCCATTTATATAGACATTGCGTGTGTTTCACAATATTTTATTCACAATCAGTTTCACAATATGTTTTGTATAGATAACCAATATAAATTGAATAAAAAGTTTATAAATCAATATTGTTATTGTTCCCATGTATTATTCCCATAATCCTTTTTCTCTTTCTTTTTTTCTTTTTTTTCAGTACGTTGGATCCTATATATATAAACAATTTTTACTATTTTGTATGCACAACAATAAATAAATTAAATAAGAAATAGTTTGATCGAAATATGTTATGATATTTATTGTAAAATAATTACTTTATGAAAATGAATATTATTAGAGGTGCAAGAGATGCAGTAAATTGCCAAGTGTCTAATAAGTACCCGCGTCAATACATACTATGTATACTAATTCACATTCTCAATTATGCTACTGTTATTATTTGTCATCAGACAATTATAAACATACACATAATAATTAGATACATATTATATATATATATATATATATATATATATATATATATACGCACATGTGTGCATAAGAATATATGTAATTTATAAAAAGCGGGTGCTTATTAGCCTTGATACGTTACTGCCTTCTGCTACGGACGGCCAGAAAGCATTTTCAGGTTCAAGCCGTATTGCTAGAATCCATAGACGCGGCAACGCCGCGCGGCGTTTCCGCGTCTATAGCATATGTCTTTCCACCACCGTGCGTCCGTGTGAGCAATTCAGTGGTGTGTGTACGTGTACGGAATTTCGCGTTGTCACCACTAGTGGCACCACCTTACGTGCGCGTCGGAGTTTGGCCTTTGCTTTAGTTGACATTACCGACGTCGAGGAAGTTCGGCCTTCGTTTTAGGATCCCCTTAAGGGCTTAAGCGAGGGCATACGTCGTACCTTAAAAAATGTCGGACTCGATGTATTATACACTATTCCGAAGAAGCTTAACACAGTTATCAAAAGGGGTAAGGATAGATTGATGAAGAATAGGGAAACCAACATTGTTTATCAGATTGAATGTGATGACTGTGAGACTTCTTATATAGGGCAAACTAAGAGACATCTTGAGACTAGAATCAAGGAGCATTGTAATGATATTAAAAAGCATTTCAGCAATCACTCATGCCGTTTTCGAGTGAATGCTCTCAGATTGCTCTGAGAGCAAATCATATGTTCGAGTGCAATCACGGGCAACTCTCAAACAGATTTTGGATCTACTCTGTTTGAATAAAAAAGCATATTAATTGCTGAAAAATTACAAAAATACATGTTTTACGAACTCATATGACCATAGAATTAACTCCTTTTATCCATTAACAATTTTAAATATAAAAGATTTATCTTTACTTTAGTATAAAACCATAAACGTAACAAAATTTGTGATTTTTCATTTAAAATGGTCTGTTAGCTGTTTTTCGACTTTATCGACGGAACGCTACATTAACGAGTTCGCGCTGTCGAAAAAAACGCTCGAGTTCTGCTCTAACCTGCTCTGACTCTGGGGAGCAGGGCAACGCAGAGCAGTCAAAACAAATGGCGGCACCGATTGATCAATTACGTGGATTACGTGTAATCGAAATTATGCAGGATTTGTTGTCATCAGACAGTTCTGATGATGACGATGATATTATTGATGTACAATTATTGAGGAATAATGCCAGAAGACGCCGATGGGGTAAAGTTCCTAAAGTTGAAAATTTTATTCGCGATGTAGTTGACAAGTATTCAGAGCCAGAAGTACGTATATGTTTATGCTACTTTAATATAACAATTACAAATTTAGGAATAATATCAATAATATTAATTTATTCTTACAGTTTAAAAGTGATTTCCGAGTATTTCGTGAAACATGTAATTATTTAATTGAATTGTTCGAACAAAGTGTATATTGCCCCCGAGGAGCACCTTTTGGCGGTGTTGAAGCGAAAAGTGCCGAAGAACACATTCTGTATTATTTATGGTAAGAATTAATAAATAAGATATTGGTAAAATAAATTCAATGTGTTTACAATGTTTGGGTAACACTAGGCCTTCTGCTACCCTGGCTGATTGTTTTACCTTAACATATATATCGAGTTCATATGGAATACATCAATATAGGGAGCTTTTCAGCAAGCGACACAAATACACAAGTCGTCATAAGCATCGTTTTATCTATCTTTTTTGGCAATGAGTAAAAGATAAAACAATACTTGTGTCGACTTGTATCGCTTGCTAGAAAGCTCCGATAATGTGCCTACTTCACCCTCTGTTGACACTCACCTAAAAATATTTTTATTAAGGTCTGAGTAGTTAAAAATGAAAATTTTTAGCACCAGAAGAAAAGAATAAAGTAACAGAAATTAAGGAATAATTGATTCCATAAATTAACGACTTAAATTCTATTTAAAATATTTTTAGTATATAATATATTTAGTTGAATATGTAAATAACTTGCTTCGTAAGTTTTTAATACAACTAATAGGAATTGTTTGTCAATTTATGGAAAATATATTTTTGTTCGTTTATCTTTGTTTTTAGGAGTCTCCAATGTTCATTTACACCTACTGTACTAAATATAAATATTTAAAGTTGAGTGCGTAAATTATGTGTTTTGACGTACTTCGAGTGTAAACAAATCCACCAGGGCAGTGCTCAATTTTTGTTTTATTTGTTAACAATTGAACAATTATTTTGTTCTATAGGTTTGCAGGTAACAAAGCAGTTTACCGGACCGTAGCTCATATTTTTGGAATTAGTATATCGACAGCACACAAGATGATAGATAGTGTAATACATTTTTTAACTGACGAATTGGGCCCATCAGTAATAAAATTTCCAAGTACTGAGGAAGACAAGCAACAAAATGCAGAAGAATTCGAGCAGGTAATTTTTTTTTACAAATTTTTGCTTAAATTTAATTTTTTATTTTACAATTAAAATAACTGTTTCTTTGATTAATTTCTTGTTCGAAAAGATTGCAGGGTTTCCAGGAGTAGTTGGATGCATTGATGGAACATTCATCAACATTCGTACACCTATCCATAAAATTAAATCAACTTATGTCAATCGTCACGATATCGCTTCATTAACTTTGCAAGCAATATGTGATGCGAACCAAAAGTTTTTGGATGTCTTCACCGGAGTACCAGGCAAGATCCACGATGCAAGAACATTTT